TCTTCCTGATTTGCTTCTCCTCATACCAACATCTGCTCATAACATTTTACCACATAGCAAGGCTACATATTCAGTGTGAACAAAATCTCTCATCCCTGTTCCATGTTTTTTGGTTTTGTTTTTTTTTTTTTTTTTCTCCTTTGTTTTACCAAAGGGTGTGATCTGGTTCAAATTACAATATGAATACAGCATAGCAGAGATGTATGCAATGAAGATTAAAAATAAGTCATTGAGGTCACTGTAACTTCCTCAATGTCAAAAAATGTGCCATTGTAAATCCCCTGGGACTGCCTGAACAATACTTGCATATTCCAGGCCTTATGTCAGCCTGATACCCATCTGTCTATTTGCTAAGCTCAGTCTCTCCTGTCCTTTCTGGTATCACTCCTTCTATTGTGGGGGAATGGGAGAGGAGGGGCTCTGAACAGCAAAATTTCCCTTCATTTTATTCAAAGGTGAGATCCTCTGGACACGATATCTCCCTGCAAGGTACTCTAACTTCATTTGCATGCTGTTGTGGAATGTTTTTGTACTAATCCTAAAAGTAACAAATCAGCACAGAACATATTAAATAACCTCGAGTATCACTATTGTATTTGATTAATTTAGATCAGGATCCTGACTCCAACTTGCAAATAAACAGTTTTGATAAATCTTGGTACTGGGGCTGCGGTTTTGTGATATGCACAGCACAGAATTTGCAGACAAGTCAGAAGACTGCAAGAAGAGGTAACATTAAACTCTTCTGATTTGTGCCACTCTACAGCCTAAGTTATCTGGCATAATTTTGAACCTCTCCAGGAATGTCCTCTGTGCCACAGTACAATACACACTCTCCGAAGTGTGACATGGCCTTACTCTGGGATGTCCTTACTTTGGCAACATATCTGAGCCAGACTTTTGGGGGATTCTTTGAGGAGGGATGATCAGTGAAGTATCCCCTCACTTGCAGAATCAAGACTGAGATCTGCAGCTGAGTCATTGTATAAAGCTTCTTCTTATGAACATTTTGTGATCATGCTGTAGGCAGAGGTGTGCAAATCTGTCACAACCATGAGAACAGTTAAATACTCCTGTAATTAGCAGAATGTACATTCTTTGACTTTGTCTGCAATAAAATAGCAACACATTTGTTTCCTCCCTATCATCATCCCTATCAATAACTGATATAACCTTAAAAATACATATCTACTACAAGCATTCTCACTGAGATATTCCCAGCTCACTCTTTTTTTTTCTTCAACAATTTTGAAATCCTGGTGGATGTGTAATCAGTCATGGGATGGTTGTTGTAGTTGTTTACTTTGACTGAATGCCAGGTGTCCACCAAGCCAGCACAGATTCCCCCCCCCTCCAAAAAAAGGGGAGAAGAAAGGAAAAAAACCATGAAAAACCTGGGCTTACCAAGGAAGAAAGTTTATATTTACAAGGACAAAAAAAAAAAAAAAAGAAGATACTAGTAACACTGCAAACACACAGGCAAAGGAAACAGTAAAAAATTCTACCTCCCCCACGGAATGGCATCTTGGACAGATGCAGCTGCCTACAGGGCCATCCCGGAAGAAAGAAGGGCCAAGCTAATTCTCCCTTCCCTCTTATAGTTGGACTGATGTAACATGATATGGAATATCCTGTTCCTCCTGGAAAGAGGAAGTGTTATTTAACTACACAAACCCACTACAATCTCCACCCCTTATTCCATACAATTTTACATCTCACCCATATCCCATTATTCGCCTATATCCTGCACTTGTACAGGTCTTGTCTTCTATGGTGGTCTCATCATTGAACACCAGCATCACCTTAGTTTGGGTGTTCCTCATCTGATGACTTTTCCTGCAACATACAACTCAGAATACAAATTATTTTTTTCCTAAGGTTAAATCTCCTTAAGGCACACATTGGGTTTCCCCGTCTTCTCTCATTATCCACCAAGTGTATCCAGGTCCTTGAGTAAAGACAATCCCACAGATGGGTTTGCCTTTGCTCAAGGGAGGGTTAACCCAAACTGCTTTACCTAACATACCTCTCAAGTGAATTACTGGACAGTGTGAAGGGACTCTTTTTGGGCAGGGCTGGCTTGATTGACGGAGCTTCTAGCGTTGACTAGCCAAGTAGCCTTTCCTAGATGCTGATCCCAATTTTTGAAAGTCCCCCCACCCTATGCCTTCGAAGTAGTTTTCAGCAATCCATTGCATCACTCAACTTTTCCAGCGGCTGGTGCATGATACGGGATATGATACATCCATTCAATGCCATGTTCCCTGGCCCAAGTAGAAACTAAACTGGTTTTGAAATGAGTCCCATTGTCTGACTCAATGCGCTCTGGGGTGCCAAGTCGCCACAGTACTTGCTTTTCAAGACACAGAATGGTATTTTGGGCAGTTGCGTGAGGCACCGGATAAGTCTCTGACCATCCAGTGGTTGCTTCCACCATGGTGAGAACATAGCATTTACCTTGGTGGATCTGTGGCAGTGTGATATGGTCAACCCGCCAGGCCTCCCCATATCTATACTTATCTGATGTGGTTTGAAGCTGGCTCCCTGCCAAGTCTTCAAACCTCACCACAAGAACTACCCCCCCAACCCAAGGGAGAAGAGGGAAAAAAAACCCAAGAGAACTGAAACGAGAGAGAGGCAGCTAAAGCAATATATATATATATATATATATATATTTATATTTACACTTATATTACAGTTACATACAATTGAAATATATATACAATTTCAAAAGGAAAAGGGAAAGGGAAGGGGGAAGGAAAAAAAAGGAACAAAATCAAAATAAAATATACACGATCAATAGCCCAAGATCTAGCAACTAAAAGAATTAGCAAAAGAATATCTTACTACTCTCCTTGGGACAACAGAAAGTCACACTGAAACGACTGCTGGCAACCTTCGTCTCCCAAGGTCCGCAAGGCCTTACCAGGCCTCACTCCCCAACACGACAGACTCAACAGCAGGGAAAACCCACACCCCCAAAGCCACCGGAAGGAAAGAGGGCCAAAGGCCTTTCCTCCTTTCTTCTTATACCTCAGCTTACGTAAAAATCATAGGGAACACCGAGTAAATCTGGGCACTTCCTTGGTTACAGACTGGTCACCAAGGAAGGCCTAGACTAAACTACCACATTCTCCCAGGATGGACCATTATCCCCAGCTATGGAATAAAGTACATTTTTCACATTTGGTTCTGTCCTGACTGGTCCAAGTGCCACGGCATGTGCAATCTCCTGTTTAATCTGTTTAAAGACTTGCTGTTGTTCGGGACCCCATTGGAAATCATTCTTCTTACAGGTCACTAAGTAAAGAGGACTCACAATTCGATTGTATTCAGGAATGTGCATCCTCCAAAAACCTATGGCCCCCGGCAAAGCTTGTGTTTCCTTTTTGTTTGCTGGTGGAGCCATCAGTATGATCTTGTTGATGACTTCTGTTGAAATCTGATGATGTCCATCTTGCCATTTCACCCCTAGGAAATGGATTGCTTTGGCAGGTCCCTTGACCTTACCCTTTTTGATGGCGAAACCGGCTTTGAGGAGAATCTGGATAATTTCCTTTCCTTTTTCAAGGACTTCTCTGCTGTGTGCCCCCACACAGTAATGTCATCAATATATTGTATGTGTTCTGGAGCCTTACCCTTCTCTAGTGTAGCCTGAATCAGCTCATGGCAAATGGAGGGCCTGTGTTTCCACCCCTGGGGCAGTTGGTTCCAGGTGTACTGCATCCCCCTCCACGTGAAAGCAAACTGTGGCCTGCACTGTGCTGCTAAGGAGATGGAGAAGAACACATTTGCAATATCAGTGGTGGCATACCACTTTGCTGCCTTGGACTCCAGTTTGTACTGGAGCTCCAACATGTCTGGCACAGTGGCACTCGACAGTGGGATGACTTCATTTACCTGTCTGACTTCTCCTCTGATTGATCAACCTTCCTGTAGTGAGGAACTGACTCTTTGTGAACTGGCTCTTTGCCTTGCCTCCTGTTCTTGTCCCATTGTTACTTCCGTTAATCTGTCCCCTACCTCCCTTACTAATCGTGGAGATAGGCCTGTAGGTCCTGAAGATCTCCTTACCCATGTCTTCCTTTTCACTACAGGGACAATACTGACTTCAGATGTCGTGGTTTGGGTTCCTGCCTCAGTTGAAGTCTTTTTAGAGTATTGAAGAGCAGCTCGGTAGGCACAGGCCAGTCCCCAGTACAGGGTGAGAAGTTGCTGGTTTCCATCAGGGTAGGCAAGGCAGCCTTCCATTAAATGATGTATTAGTTTGTTGGGGTTGAACGCTTGTTCTGGTGTGAAGTCCCAGGCAACAGGGGGTGTTAGATGCCCTAAGAACCTGTCTAAATTCATCCACATCCCTTGCCACCCGGGAACTGTCCCCTTTAGAAAACATGCCAGTTAATTCTCTCTCGAAGTTGATTTTGTCCTGGCACAAGGCAACAAAAACAACACTACCTTCCCCATTCCCTATAATGTTTTAAGAGCATTGGTTATGAGCAGCAATATAGTCAGACAACTCAAGTAAGGATTAGTAAGGATTGGGGGTGCTTTCATTATCAGGCACTCTATGTCAAAATTAAGAAGAGAAAAAAAATTGATTTCTTTCCCTTCTGTGTCTTTTAAGGGATAAGTCCCACATCCTATCAAAACTGTTAGTAAAATTACAGGAATATCCACTCGAACTGAGTGAATTGCCATGTTTTTGTTACATGTTCCCAGGTTAGCAAAACAAATAGATGAGGCAATCTTCCCTTGGCAGTTTTCCCAGCCAATGGAGCAAAATTTGTAGTTGTTTACTTTGGCTGAACGTCAGGTGTCCACCGAGCCTGCGCAGATTTCCAACCCCCCCAAAAAGGGGAGGCAAAAGGAGAAAAAACATGAAAAACCTGGGCTTACCAAGGAAGAAAGTTTATATTTACACAGAGAGAAAAAAAAAAAAGAAGAGACTAGTAACGCTACAAACACACAGGCAAAGGAAACTAACAGTAAAAAAATTCTACCTCCCCCACAGAACGGTGTCTTGGACAGATGTAGCTGCCTACAGGGCCATCCCGGAAGAAAGAAGAAGGGCCGAGCTAATTCTCCCTTCCCTCTTATAGTCGGACTGATGTAACATGATATGGAATATCCTGTTCCTCCCAGAAAGAGGAAGTGTTATTTAACTACACAAACCCACTACAGTTGGTTTGGAAATACAGATTTTGAGTTGTTGGCAAATATGCATGGTCTTGATCACTTCAAGCAGAATGAGCATTTTCCTGAAAGGGAGTCTATTGACCTCCTTTATCTTGTATGAGAAATGCTTGGTCTGTTCTGTTGTTATCCAGTGACCTCACTTGTCACCTGATTTCAGGTAGGTATCTGAGTAGGTGCAACATATTACATGTCTCCTTCGGAGTTTTCAGGGTTTGGGAACTTAGATTTCTCACTTTGTGAACAGCCTGTCTCTATGAGTCTTTAAAGGAAAATCACTAGTTTATTAAATGCTACATTCAGGAAAGAAACAGCTACAACAACCAAAACCTCAGATTCTGAAAATTAAATGAGCAATGATGCCTTAATATACAGTCTAGAATCACACAGCAAAGTTCTAGATAGAAATAGGTAATATTTATTTTTTTGTACTGTGAGTATATCTTTTTTTTCTCTTTAGGTAGTTCTTCAGTTGTCATGTATGCATTGTTGATTGTATAGCTCTATTTATTGAAAAAGCAGCATAGACACCTAATACATTCAACCTGAATTGTCCAGTTGGGGCTGTATACTTGCTCTGGAGGTCCTGTGGCGCTTAAAAAATGTGAGCAATCCTGTACTTGATTTGCGAGATCAATGAACAAAGATAATTTCTTGGCATTTGTTAACATTCTTTTCTGAAAGATATGGCATTATAATTTATCACAGAGCCTCATGGACAAGTTAGGCAATAGCAAAAATGCCATTTTACAAATACATTGGACACACTTCAGCCATCAGGAAACAACAACCCCCACTATGTTTATTTCCTCTTCAATAGTGATAGTTGCTTCTGAACAAGACAGTCTACTTTTCTCAGTAAGACATATTTTCCTTATGCTACAAAACAAGAGGTTTTTGAGTTATATACTGATACACCACATCACATGCAAGACAAACTGTTTTAGAGTGAACAAATAACCACATGTATGATCTAATGTACAACCCTTTTTGGAGCGAAGATTGAATATGCCACACATCTAATGAATGGCTGCCTGCCCTACGCTGCTGTATGTACAGTAATACCTACTGTACTCTATAGCTGATCTTCAGGCTACCACAGAGCTAAAATGTTCATACAGTGTGTCATTATTTCCTTAGACAATTCTCGTATTTATCTTTCTCTGCTTTTATTTCCCAGTGTTGTACTGTGCATTTTGGGAATTCTTCAGTGCTGTATATCTGAAAAAAAATTATCTCAATTTAGTGTTTAAAATGTGGTTCTCAACCAAGATTTTAAAAATTAAGCCCAAAGGAATAGAGTGAACAGAAATAGAATTCTGGATTTGCACTGATTGAAAACTGATGTTGTACAATTCCCATTTTCCTCTACTCAGATATCATAATTTACATTTCTGCTTGTCTCTCTTTTCTTTTCATACTGCTTTTTTTTCAGAAGGAGGAAACAACATTCCCTTTCCTTATGGGTGTTCTGGGACTATCTAATAACAAAATATTTTATATTTCAACAGAAAATTACTCATCTCTCACACAAAAAAAAGTGTTTTCTGCGTGTGATCTTATGGTAACTAATACAAGAAAGGTATTTTAAGCCATCTCACAGATCTCAATGTTATCACTGCTCCATATCATCCAAATGCTCTATTATTTATTAATATTGGTATATTTTATACCCTAATTCATGTCATCGTATGATAAAATATTGCTTAATTTTTTTCAGAATCATGTCAAAGTATTGTAAAATAGACGTATACCCTATTTGCCTAGTTCCTAATGCATTTGTACTCTTAGTTCAGAGCAGTGTTTTAACATATCACTAACTTATATTGAGTTCTAAGCAGTTCCCAAGATGGTCTGATGTTTAAGGAACTTTTTCCTTAATACTAGCTGAAGAACACGGGAGACTCTGCTCCAGCACCTGATAACTTAATACCACGAAGAAAAGAAGCCTACAAAAGCCAATGCTGAATCTGTATAGCTACAAGTGCTGACATTTTTTTCCAGAAAGAAAAATCACTACTATTGAAAGATTTCAGAGGCGGTTCTAAACATAATTATTAAAATCATAAATGTCTGTGTATTTGTTCGTAAAAAACACCAAAAAATCAACTGAAGATGGAAGTAATTTGACTTTTTAGGATATGAATGGCATAGCAGTACAAAAAAGCAGTCTAGCCCAAGATATCCTGCTCTGGCCTTGTGAATGGTTGCAGTTGCTTCCAATGGAATACCTTTCACAGCCTCCATTGCTCTTTAAAATGAAAATAACTTAGATTATGGGTTTGTGCTTAACAAAGGTGTCAGATGCAAAAATATTACTAATAGCAAAATATAACACTTATAGATATCTAACATTCATGTTAGCATCTGTCCATTGCCTAACAAATTTTAGAAAAGTTGATTTATTGGCAGATTTATCAGATGATTGACAAAGTTTTATTGATACTGACATGAAAAGAAATACATATTCTTTGATCTTTAATCTTTGAGAATATATCTCATTCCAGTTCAAAATATAGAGTGAATGGGGTTTTTTGGAAGTTTTGATTATTTGATGGTTTGTTTTGGTTTTTGTTTTGTGGATTTTTTTTAAAGAATTAAGACCAAAATATGACCCCAGAGTAAAGTGTCAGTATTAGCACATGTGGTATATTACCACAGGATGCTATGTCCTGACCGACTGTCAAAAGCTAGAATACACTCATCTGTGTATGTGGGTAAAATCCGCTACGTATTTTCATGGTTTTTTTTCTTTTCAAGCCACAAGTACAAACAATTAGACACATATCTATGTGAGCAACCAGCATTGTGCCCATTTTAACCTCTGCCTTTTTGAACTAGTAAAAAGATTGTTTAGGAGGAGCTAAACCCCTGGTTTTCCATGGTACATTGTATTGCTATTTTGAGAAAATATGTAGAGTAAGTGGCCATGGCAGCATATAGTGTGTATGATGCTCAGTATGTTATTGAACCATTTCTCTGGAAGATGCATGGCTATATTCTGACCTAAGATTTTTCACTCCGAGCTTCCGTTTGCTCCAGTATTAGGTACATTCAGAAGTTTCGGACAAAGAATTTCTCTTTCATTATCTTCTATATTTTCTGTATGTGCCATATGTTTCAGCCCACCTTTGTATAGATTCATTATAGCAGCACTATTTGAGTTCCTCATACTTAATTAGAACTTCACCAAACTTACTGCAGTAGACCTCAAAATTGTGTGAGATTTACTCCTTTTAATGTATATTTGAAATCCTTAAAGGAACATAATATATGTGTTTTATTATAATTAATCATAAACATTTGAAACTCAGCATTTTGTTTTTAAAAAGCACCAGGACTTTCTTCTTTATACTGATGTTATTTTAATATACTAAAAACATGAATGCTGGGACAAGGAGTCACATTAGGAAAAAAATTTTGTGAACAAAACTTAATGTAATGTACATGCTCAGTGAATCCACAACGAAGCAAAGTAGAGATAATTGATATTCTAGTTTATGCAAGAGATAGCATGCAAAGTCACCTTTCTTTTACTTGCTAGTGTCACATTTTTCATGAAAATTCAATATTACAAAAAGTTGATCACAAAATACCTTCAACTTCTGAGTGGTATTACTGCTATTACTGAGCTGCTCTTTGTAATAAACCTAAAATGCTGACATCAACAATCTTTCTCCAAGTACACATTTCATATGCTACTTTTTCACACTGTATTTAAATGAAACTGACATACCAATATAGGTCTTTCTAAATGAAGGAAGGTTTTCCTCAGGATATGTAATAGGACATTTTAAATTTCAGATTCTAAGCACTTTTCTCCACGTAAGATTCATACATACAAAAAAAAATGATAGTACCTCTAAATTTATATTTTAAATTAGCCATGCATTACTTGCGTGCTTAAAGATTAGGTAAAACAATTTTTTTTAATTTCCTGTATGTTTTTAGTCATTGTGATTTAGCATCTTGATACACAAAAAACCCCTATCACACTACAGAAATATATTATTATTTCACCTTTCTTGGAAAAGATAAAGTTATTTGTAATTTGCCTTTATTGTATATCCAGCTGGAATTTTCCATTTATTTTATTTTATTTTTTATTTTCAAGACAATACCTAATTTTCCAGAAGAGAAAAAGACCACTTTATTTGCAGTTATTTAAAATACTGATAGCTTGCAAAGCACATTTTGGTAAGATATTTTATAAGGAATGCCACACATTTCAATTTCTACTTGTCTTTCTAATATCCTCCCTCCAAATATTTGATATCTGGGTTTAATTATACTGTAAAATAAAATCCAATATTTCAACACTGCAATTTACTTTTAATTTAACAAGTAGATATATGTAAAATACCTTTAGCAGAATCATGAAAGTCTGTAGTACATCAGTCTTTTGTATGCTTGTACCATCTGCAACACTTAAAAGAGAGGGAGGAAGCTGTCAATTTTTGAAGACAGAAAAATAAAACAAATTTTATCTTTCAAATTAATAATTTTTTTGGGGTGACTGAAATGAAACATTGAAGTGGTTCATGGCAGATAGAGCATTACCTCAGATATATTGCTCTTTTTATACTATACGCAGATCGTAAAGAGGGCTGATGTCAGAATACTATTTTTTTTTGTGAAGACAACGAAATATCATCAGATATCAAGGGCTGTCTCTGTTTTGTGGAGTTACTACAACAGAATTAAAGCTTTATTGCTATACTGATGCCAGAGGAGATGCTGGCTAATGGGATCCCTGTGAGTACAGGGTCCTGGGATGGAGAAACAAAGGGACACAAGGGTAAACAGTATTTAAAATTTAGTGCTTAAATCTTTCAATCCTTCCTTGAACTCTTTTGAATTAT